TTGGAAAAAAATATTTTCAACTCGTCCATTTCCGGTTAGCCCTCAGAAAAAAGATGCACCGGCGTTTGCAAAATAACTCCTTACAAGACCATCTGCAATGAAAAAATACGTGTGTTTTTTTTCCTTCGTCCAAATCTTTACGAATTGTATCTCAAAGGCCTGTTCTCAAGAAATCGACTCCTAAAATACAGTTTCGATTAAAACGCTCACAGAAGTCTCTTAGGATTTCGTCAAATAATGTCATTGGTTCTATCGTCATATTTCACGATAATCCTACAATGAGTTCAAAAGCATAATGATATACTTGGGAACTGTGAAGCAGACGAACTAGCCATTACAGGCGCATACATACATACAATTAGACTCCACGAAAGAGCGAATATACATATGTATATGTGCCCCTGACTATTTCTAGATATTTAATCGACAGATACATATGTTACAGATATACATAGCTAAGTCACAGTAGAAACAATCCCTAACTTGCTCAACAAGCCGAACATGCCAAMTATTAAAATTCAAAAAGAWTGTCATAAGAACTMTAGAGGGGCTGCCAACCGGTCATTGTCTAGTAGGCAAACATATCAGCATATTAGCAACACCATACTTAAAATTATTATTGTAGAAGCTATTAGGATGTAGAAGAAAAGTTGGGCGTATGCAAAATTTTGTATTGGGAAAATAAGCCCAACTAAAGGTCGATGGTTTCTTKACGATATTTCGAAGCTTAMACCGATACAATTTTTCGTACTGGTGAACTATGAATTGAAGGAWATTTAGTCCCGGCAGTATCACAAAAATTCGCGTCCATTGGCAATATCCTGATATTGCCGATGTTTTCTGTAAAAAAAAGCCGATATGAAAATGGTTTTCTAACCGATTTTCTCTGAATGCTTSCATGGAGSACATTTTATTGTWATTAGATATYATAAYMATATGAATAKATAATCKTAAAGGATTTTTAAAAATTAAATATCTAATATAGGCTAATTTGAAAAATCTATAAAACAAATAAATTAGGTTCATATTTTTATAATTWATCGAAAAATCAAATTCGATGAAACTAAATTATCCGAAATAGTAAGCTGTAATTGTTTTTCATAGTTTCGAAGTTTTAACTGKTTTGAGGAACAAAATTGCTCGAAATATTTCAAGATCTTTGAAAATATAAATCGAGAAGTCATATACTATAAATAGTAAATTTTAGAGGAAATAAATATACGCCGAAGTTTTTATTTAAGTATTCAATTTATTCKAAATTTCTTCCTCAACTTAATAATATAAATGTTGTTTTTAAAATATGTTTGTTTATAAAATAAATAAATATTTTTGAAGTAAATGCCATGATACATTTGCACAAAATGAGTTTATAACTGTAATTTAAATGTTATCGGCAACTAATAAAAAATTATCCACGGGCAGTAGCAGCGACATTGGCGGCCTGTTGCGCCACAGCAATCCCCTGAACGGCGGCATCTCTGGTATGCTGACCAACACGCTCCTGTTGGAAGCAAAATTAAGCATGTTAGTAATGTTAAAGGTAGAAATTTCGTTAGTGGAAATACTTACAACTTTCTTGCCGATCTTCTTGAGCCAACCAGCCTCCGTTTGGCCGGCAAAAATAGCGATCACCACAGCCAAGAAGATGAAGACTTTGTTGAAGTTCATTTTGATTCGAAATTTTCCTCGTAGTTATATAAATATTAGTATATTGGCTGATAATTAGCAATTACTGTTCTTTCTAAAACACTTGCAGTGAAACTGATGGCAATGCATTCTATGCTTCCAACTTTTATAGTCAGCTCTTCGGTCTGCCCACTAGACTCAGCTGGAAAAAATCCCGCGGTGGTTATATACACACATATTTCAGGGGGACCACAGSCGCTGATCATCTTGCACAGTCAATTATGCATTTGTTYATATAATATTCACTGTCCATATGTAAAAAACATATACTGATTGTGAGACCATATTTTGTTGTTCCTTGTTGGATTCAGTTCGGTGATTTTATTGAGCTTAGCAGAAAGTAAGCTCGTGTTGTTTKCAAGACATCGATTTGTATATGTATGTATTTGTAAGTAACCTCACATTTATTTACCTAAATTCATTAATATTGCGAGCACATCAAACTATCATTTCGTTGGATTCACACAAAAGTCCCGTTATGATTATGTTTTTTGTTTTTATATAAGTAAATATTCCATACACTGTCAKAAAGTACTCTTCGATTTCTTCTAAATGCATATGCTATATAATATAATACCATATACGAATANCATCAAGAAATTCGCCGCACCCTTGCTACGCAGCAGAAAGCGGGACCTGGACGCAGGTGCGCAGATGTAAATCTCACAATGAGAAAAATGGAACGCCACCCTGAAGTAAKGCAAAAGCGGTCCCAGGGTGGGCGACGGTTCCTTAGAGGGGGGGTTTTTAGTGACCTGCAAGTGGCACATACCGCTGCTGTGACAATAGCACCGATGATGCATTTTCCACCCCCTCACCCGCAAAAAAAAAAAAAAGAAAAAAAAACCCGGTTTAGGGATTTTTTGAAGAATCCCTTTATATTGGTTGAACTTCACTTGGTGAACGTTTGTATTACATGATGAGGTGACTGCCGTTTAAAGAATACATAATAATAATACTATAATTTATATTATTTTTAAATATATGATTGTAAGAACCTTTGGACCCTTGACCCATTTGGTACTAGTCATGCCATTGAATTTTGCGATGAAAGTTTAATATTCGTATTTGCTTTAATTTAAATTTATATAAATATATAGTGTATATAAATGGGATATGTGTATACGTAAAATTTCCTTTTCATAGGTTTAAAAGCAACTAAATCTATTTACAGTAATCAGTTCGCCACGAAACGTCCAAACGTCAAAGMTTTCCAGCATTTGCTTACTGCAGTCTGTCAGCAAGATTTTGTTTAGTTTTATCCTTGAGCTAGCTGTTTGTTTGCGCGAGCTGTTAAAATACAGATGGTGAGTTTGCTTTACACATCTATAAGATATCCGAAGAAAATCTGAACAAACGTTCATCAAGGTTCTTAAGAAAACAGTTCCAATAAAACTTTGTGTTCTGTGTCGTCAGTCAGTCATGTTTTCGTACTGAATATAAAAGCCGATTGATACACAAAGTGAAATCAAGCTCCCGTATCAGCGAAGTTTTTCGAAAGTGGCGCTGTTAACTGCCTTCCTTTGAGTTTCTAGAGGAGCGTTTGAGTTCATCAGGACATCGTTTCTTTGCCATGTCAGATAGTGACTTTTAAGTCGCTGATACATTACATACTCATCATTTCAAAATCTGCTGTACTTTAAACCGATTTTATCGTTGTTGTTGTTATAATGGTACATACTGCCTTTTAGGGTGGTAAGGATTAGTTGTCAGCGATGTCATCCAACGGTAGGCCCAGGAAATGTGCTGTTTCGACGGGATCGGACTATAGGGACAAAGGTGTCAGATGTGTAGGGTTAACAGGGTATGCAAAGAGTTAAGTGGGGAATAGTTGGATGCTGGGCATATATTTGGTATATYGGGTCGATTCTGGTTAAGTAGGAGTWTAACCTGCTACAGTATCCAGAACGAAGCTGCGCAACGTCACTCTCGACTCTCGCGGCAATTATAGCTCTTCGTCTGTAATGGGTGGCGATTTGACTACAAGTATGCCATTTACTAAGAGGGAGTCAGTGCATGTCTGAAGTTTATTGTGTCCGGAGTCTATTGGCGCATTGTTTTATGTCGTCGACGTAGTTGAGGAAGGACCAAGTAGACGATTACAGGCATATTATCTGCGAAAGCATCTCAGCAGAAGGAAATGAGTTGATTATGCCGCTTAACTGGAAGCATCCTGTTCTAGTTCGTAGTGCAGTGTTCTACGAAGTTTATAGTCGTTTGAGTTTCACTCAAAATGAGCTGAAACCCAAGCTCTGTGTAGTGCTWGGGTGCTCCTCTCGAGACTCGGGTGCTCCTACAGTCACTCGTCTGTTCATTTCTGTTCTATAATAAGTATAAAAGCACTGCTTAATAATTTATTCTTTGAAACAACTTCGTCTTATATTATTTWTGTTTTTTCTACGATGGGAATGCGTGAGCGTTATTCAACAGATTTGCCAAACTTTCACAAATCACGGTACTGAGTGTATGATCCCTCAGCAGATCACCTGAGATATTCTGGAGTAAACTTTATGAAAATTAGTTTCTTAAACTGCGAAGCATATAAAGACACATTCTTTAAATTCTAAATTTTTGAACTGTTGAAAAAATAGCTTGGATACTCATAAATCCGAGTTGTTTCCAATAAAGTTCCGAAATAATAAGTAAACTTGTTTCTACTTTTCAAATATAAKATTTATTTAAAATAATTTATAGTCACTAAATTACAAATTGCTAGTAATACTTTAAGGTAAACAAGCATAAATTAAAGCTTCGCTTTAAAACAGTCCATCTCCATATMTAAAGAAATTTATTAACCCTTGACTGTCGCARCAACATTGGCGRCCTGTTGAGCCACAGCGAGCGTTTGTATAGTGGCATCTCGTGTATTTTRACCGATTGTTGTTAGTGTAAAGTTTGTATTTTCGCTTTATTGTTTTGCTAATGGGAATGCAACGCTCAGTCCTTGTTTGAAATTTCAAAATGCATTTGTATGTATGTACGTTCGACATACATACGTATGGCATATATTTTCAAAAATACTCGCATAGGTATTTTTTAAGTTCTTATTTTCTAATTTGTGTTTATGTGGAATTTTTTGGGAAACTTTTGCGCGCAACAACGTTGCTAATTCAGTATTAGATAATTTCTTAGTAATAATATCTAATCTGCAGAGTGCTTAGTTTTGAGGCGGCAAATTGTTGTTTAGACAGCTTTTTTCCTAATTAGTTTCTCTTGTTAACACACTGYGTTCACTAATTTTGTTTACTTGCAGCACCTACACTTTTTACTATTGCTGTAATTAAAAGTTTTTAATAACGTCAAAAATTTTGATAAGATGCTTGAATAACTACTTTGATGAATCCAAAAGAGGTGCTTTACTAATTGCCGTCTATTTGTATTTATTTCGCTAAAATTTTTTTTTTTGCATATATATTTCAAATATTTATGCTCTCTTCTCAAACAATTCATATGTAAGAGTGACAATAAAGTTATCCAATTGATTACGTATGAAAGTACCTTATTAAACTAGTAAACTACCCACCGTGCTTTCTTTATGTGCTTAWRCCACTTTATGKRTTTTATWCCAGTTGCTTGTTCGTTTCACGTAACATTTATTTCATTTTTGTATACAAACCATAAACCTTTATCATTATAAATGAAGTTTCGTAAAATATATTTAAAATATTTTGGCTCGTTTTTGCAACACAACAATTTTATCTCTTCGTAAAAAACTTTTTTTCTATAATAATACGATTAGAAAAGTAAGAAATTTCAATCTGTTACAGACATACACTATTAACAAAAAAATTTTGAAATTTTTGGAAACAWATATTTTCAACTGGGCTATTGCGACGTCATTTCCGGTGACCGCTCGGAAAAAAAGATACGCCCTCGTTGGAGGATAACTCCTCGCAGGATCATCTAAAGTGAAAAAATACGTGTTTTAGTTAAAACCTTAACATAGAACTTGAACCAAGCAAAAAAAACAAAAAAAAAAATTAAAATGGATTTTTGGCAGCCATTATTACAAAAAAATTAAAATTTCGATGAAAATTTCGCAACATTTTTTTTTTTCAAATCGTTGGAATCAGTGTAAAATTTCATGAAGATCAGTTGAGTAGTTAAGAAATCTTGCTGGCGCACTTAGCCCAGCTAGCCTAGAGCGCACAAATTCTCAAGCCTGTATCTCCAAACTATGACTCGGATCAACAATTTAGGGCAATACTCTAGAGGTTGTTTAATAAGACAATAAAATAGAATTCGATTTTTTTTAAATCCGTAAACCCATGTAATGAAGCCAATTTTCTTTTATTTGAGCATTCGTGAGTTATACGGAATYTTTCGGTAGAATACATAGAAATTATATGGTGGCACAATCTTATATAGAGACATTCTTGGGGTACATATAACTTGTAAACATATTATGATAGTCCCTTAAATATCTGCCAGATCCTTGGCCGTTTTTTCCCTGTCATTTGCGGTGTGCTCCTTGATATGGATTTCTCAAAAATTACTAATATTACACACAAGTACAGATAAACGACTCAGCTCGTCACACTCGCAATGCATACTATATACTTATGTATATGTACTTTATAGGGTCTCCGATATTTCTTTCTATTTAATATACTCTCTATAGGGTATAAAGTTTTAACCCCTGTTCTTATGCTTGTAGACATCTTCTAATATGAAATGATTACATGAGTCCTTCATCAAATTCAAAAACATTTCTATTATAAACCATTGTTTTGAGGGGACTTTTAAGCTGGCCTTTAGTTCCCCGAATTTGGACATAAACAAATTAAATTAATCTATAAAGAAGCAATCGATTATTATGCTACGAGTATCGGAAATAAAAAATCACATAGAGCGTCATCCATTACACATTGGAATACAAATGTTTATACGTACTTTTATAGTAAATTTTTAAGTAAAGTAAAGTCACGTAAACAAATTATGCAATTTACTCTGCTGCGCTGTCTGCTCTGTTTCATTCATAAAAGTTTTCTATTTGCATATGTATATGTATATAACAGTAATCGTAACGTAAATTAAGTGATTGAATGGCCCAGCAGGAAAAATATCTGTAAAAACAATTCCTAAGAAATATTCTGCATTAAATTTTTTTTT